GTTTAACAGATGTTGTTCGATATCAATACCAAAGTTAGTATTGATAAGATCCTAGGATCAATCCGCCCGCCTCTACACCAGAGGGTTTCGGAAATGAGTTTGCACAAACAACAGCTTTATTATCTCTAATGAGGCTTTTATTATCTAACACTTCCCTTCTGATAACGGAATTAATGCTCTGTGTATAACAGGTCCAATAAAGCAGCTAAAACACGGATGTGACCAAACTCAGTCTGTGGATTGAACCGGGAACGGCTATCCAAAAATATAAATGTTAAATAAAGTAACATTTTCAGAAAAAAAAAAATTCTTTATCTGTATGATGAGTCTGTTTTATGTAATATCTTCTCATTTCAAAGGGCCCCCTGCCTGTTTTGGGCCCCAAATTTCCTAAATCCGCCCCTGACTAATAGTACTCACTGCTGTCCACTGCAGGTCACCCTTCTTCAGCAGTTTTTTGATCCTATTCAGGGCTTTGTTCCTCTTTTTCAGCACTCTCAGAGGATTGAAGCCAAGCTGCAAAAACAAAGATCTTGTTTACAAGATAAAAGCAAAAGAAGCCTTTAAAAAATAAAAATAAAAAAAGGACTTACAGCTTCCACTAGTTTGTTCCTGAAGAAGTCCATGTTGGCGAAAAAGATGGGGGATGGCATTCTAAAGATCTTCACGCCTTCTGGTTCATAAATCTGCAGAAAGTCCGGATTGTGTTACTATAAAAGGTCTAAAGAATAAATGCAAAACCTAAAGAGGTACAGAGTTGTATAAAGTTTTTATTCTTAAGAGCATTTAGTCACTTTAAAAACCACAAAGCAATCAAGTTTATTTCTGTTTTATATGAGAAGCATAAAGTACAGTAGCAGCCATTAAAAATGACCCTTTCCAGTAAAAAGCCAGCAGAATAGCAGCCAACCTCCAGCCCCTGCAGTGACCCCCCCCTTCTCTTGGGCGTGCATATTTATTTACTCTGACTCCAGCCTTTCACTGAATTACAGGGTCTGACCAGGAGAGGATGCTTCTCTTTAGATCTTAATCAGGGTTTATACAGGAATGAATAAATCTAATTTAATTTATTTCTTATTCTCTTAGAAATAATTTTAATGCCATCAACAAATACCCACGAATCTCAAACACGCCTCAAGTTTCTTTTCCCAACATACAGCTTTACGATCAACCGGAAGCAGTTCCGCGCTAATATATTGCCAAATTATATTCCTGAAGAAATTGTTTTTATAATAGTTTTTTTTTT